TGAATCATTTTGTACCGATTCTTGTGATTTTAAAGTTATCATTTTTAGTTGGTAGATAGAAAATAAAGTTATCATTTTTAGTTGGTAGATAGAAAAATATGAAAATATAACATTAAGAGTTTAAGCTTTGTGCCTTCATTAAATAAATATATATATAGCAAGGTGGCTGTCCAACAATTTACTTGGATTTTATGCAAAAAAAAAAACAACCCTTTTTTCACTTTGAAAATTTATTCACCAAACTTAATTTTCTTTTTTTATTGATAAAATGTCCTCAAAAATTCTTTTCTCATTTTTAATTTTATTAATTTATTTTTCTAAAGATGGGGTTTCTTCTAATGGTGACACTGAAACATGCGTAGGAAATTTAACAAGGCGTTACATACCACGTACTGATCCATTGGGTAAGTTTCTAATTAATATGTATTCGGTAAAATTTTTCAACACTAAAAATATTAATTTATTCTCTAAAATTTTTCATTATTCATTGAAAATTTCGGTTCTGTTGTAAAAAATAAAAGGATGTTATGTTTTTAATGACTCCACTATCGATGGTTTTGATGGTCTTAAAAGTATAGGACTTTCCGATCCATACAAAGACAGAGATGGTAATCTTATGGATCCTGGATTATGTACAATTCATTGTGCAAACTATGGGTTTGCATATTCAGGCTTGAGAAAGGGTGGAAGCTGTCGTTGCGGGGGATCTACTGCCCTTATAACGTATACCAAATTAAATGATACTTTAAGTAAAACGGTCTGCAATTTAACTTGCATCGGAAATTCAAGTTATATATGTGGAGGTGATGATGGTTACACTATTTATCAAGAAGCAATTCCAATCGATAAGCAACCACAAATAAGTGCAGCGGAAAAAGTCTCAATTATTCGTAACCTAAAAAATATTAAAACATATAATGGGTGTATTAGAGATTCTCCATACTGTAACCAAAGAGCCTTAACTGGTTCAAAAAAAGAATTCAGCAGTTTAAGTATTGATGATTGTATAACCTTCTGCAAGAATAATAATTATAAATATGCTGGATTAGAAATTGGTACTGTATACGCATTGAAAATTTTTAAATTTGTGCTAGGTTTTTGAAGCAAATTTCCTGATCTATGAATCAAATTTCAAGATCAGGTGTAATGTAACACGATTAGGATATTCAAAGCACGCGTCCATTTAATTAAAAATACCTTTCCTTGTGCATATACTTTATTGACACCTAACCTTAATATAAATATTAACTTTGACATCAATGAACCATTAACATAAAGAATTATAACTGCTTCACAAACCTCACGTTTCAGACGTGTATACATCATAATAACGAACTTTAATGCTTTGTTTATCGCAGGTTCACAGTGTTTTTGCGACAATAATTTCGACAGCCTAAATATGCTTAATCCAGAAGAATGTAGCTCCAGTTGTATTGGAAATAAATCTGAGCTGTGCGGTGGCCCACTCGCGCTGTCAATTTATAGTGTGCCTCCGGATCCTCCAGAGGACCCTCGCCTTAGTGAGTATAAATCCCTTACTACTTTTTCTCAAAATTAATTTGTACAAAGTGTAATAATTAATCAAAATTGATGTTATTAAATTAATTAATGATAATAGAAATCGGACTTGGTGTTGGAATTCCTCTATTCATAATAGCTGGTGCTGTGTTATTGCTTTGCTTTTATAAGAGGAAACAACGCAAAAATACTGATGAAAAAAAAACTAGTAATAATGTATAAGCCTATATACATATCATCTATTTAACAATTTTGTAAAGTTAATGAATTGACCAACATTGACATTTTACTAATCTTATTTATATCAGTGAATATATTGCGCTAGTGTGACTCGAAATCTAGCGAGACAGTCAACGCCTTTCTCATTCCATTTTTTACTTTATATTCCTATTCTTCTTGTTCTATTAGTTCTATCTTCCATATTCGTCCTATCCTTGTCATCTAATATTATCTTAATGTAAGATATTTGTATTTGTATTATTATTATCCCTTAATCCGTATTCGGGGCAAATTTGCCCCGATTTTCAGATTCCCGGCAGATATCTCACGCTACCATTA